CTTGCACCTGGCCCACCAGAAATGATGTTTGGATTAAAAAGAGGGATCAGACCATTGCCTAGACTGGGAAAACCAGGTTGTTGGGGCGGGAAAGTTGAGCCAAGTAAAGGTGGAGGAAGGGATGTATTGGTGAAACCAGGTGGAGGAAAACTGAGAGCATTCGTAAATTGAGATAGAACATCGCCTCCATTAGGGGGAGGAAAAGCAGTAGCAGGAGGGAAATTAAGCGGTTGTGCCGACCCAAGAAGACTATTTCTATTCTTCTCGGCATCATCTTCGCTCATAGATGGCGAGCGGACACGATTAATAGTTGTAATATCTTTGACATTTTGGCTAAGAGCACCATTAACTCTGGGTCCACGATAGTTGCCACCTGATAGATTAAGACCCACTGCAGGTCCAACCAAAACTGGTTTGAGGGAGGAATTCGCATACTCTTGACGAAGAATCCTTTGCTTTTCAACGTATTGATTCCAGGTGTCCTCAGTAAAACCATAATTAAAGTAGTCAGTTATATCAGCACCTGGCTGTTTCCAAGGTTTGTCTTCATCTTTGAGAACACTTGTGCTAAATTCCGTAGTAGGAACGCCTTGAATATTCCCTGGATCATTAAGATTAATGCCTTGCCTAATAACCTTTGATCCTAAAAATAAAAATGTGTAGAGAAGAATGTAGAGAACATGCATTGATAGATAACACAAAATACCCTGAGTGCCAATCTGGAGCGATCTTGCCTGATAAGTATTTCCCGTTTTATATGCTCCTACTTTAGTTGGTTTAATTAGAACATCAAAATTGTCATCGTCTGAGTCTTCAGCATCATCCTCATCATCAGCATTGTCATCCAAGTCTGCATTACCAACATCTTGTGAATTTTCATTTTCTGGAACTCCGGACTTTTCACTCGTGTTTATATTATTTGTACTTTCTGTGCGACCCAAAAGTTGATTCAATGCATTCTCGTCTTCAGTATTAAAATATGTTGCTTCCACAGTCGGTTCATCACGAGTATTGCTCGACTGCACCTCATCTGTAGGCTGAGCGTCTGCATTACCCGCCATCATAAATCACATCTAAGAGCAGACATGCTTAGGGCTTATATAAAAAACTCGACTAAACAAATCAATATTAAATCAAAAAATTCAAATGATATGAAGTAATTATTTCCATATAATGTTTTATATCAAGTAAAATCATGAAGATATTATATTACAAGCCATTTAAATGAACGTTTCAAAACAAACTTAAAGATATACGTTTCAGGGTTTTTTAGACAATGCTGTTTTACTCAAAAATAAAAATTAAACCCCAAGAATTTCAATATCTCATATCGAAGTTTTATTTCCCCATGACTCAAAGAAACGGCGATTGACAAAAATAAGAACTAATAGAATTAATACATTTCATTGCATCTTCGACTACACAGTTACGTCAGTGGAAGCATTTCCAGGTTTGTAATATTCTAATGCTCTTATTTGCCAAGAATTTGACGTTATATCTTAATTTTGTCGTTTCATGTATTAGTTGGTAGCATCTGCCATTTTAGCAAAGTATTATTTTCATTTTTTAGGATGATAATAATAGATACATCGAATTTGGGCTTTATGTTCAAATGGCAAATTCAAAATATTCTTCATATGTTTGACACCATATTTAGCTAATTAATTACATATTTGACGTGTCTCCTCTAAATCACATCCTTCTTTATTTATTATGGCAAACTTCAAGACACATGACTGAATACATGCATATCGATATAAATTGTTTATTTTGTATTAGACGATTTAATGCTATTGATAAGCTCTAAATGGGCAGTTTTATTTTGAATTGGCGCAATGAAAGCACAAAGATTTGATGAGATTTATCCAAACTTATTATAACTTTTAAAAATCTTCTCTATCCAAATTGTGGCGTTCTCAAAGTCACCACTACACATATAGCCTATTTCACTAATATCAACCATCTACTACAACCCCTAGATACCCCCCCCCCGTCCCCTCAAAATTAGTCTCTTTGGTTCCATCTGCACTTCAACTCTTACATTCCAGTCTTTGCGCTCAGATATTGTTTGCCACACAGTACCAAATCCTTTCACATCTCGAGATAAAAGGTAATTAATTAGACAAGTCTTTTATAAACTGCTTTAAACTTTTAAGTCTTAATTTCGAAAATGGTGCGGTTCGTAAATACGAAAGTTGTTTTCCCATTTATTAATGATTTCCATTATTGGTTGATAATTGAGATCTTTTAATTGATTTGGAGTAGTTCACTCCGTCATCCTTGTGTGGTTTGTGAACGCGTATATTCACCATAATTATCCAGTTGATTGGAAATACGCTGAAGTGTTAAATGACATTTACTCCCATTTTGATGCATCAGTTCTGTTATATCAGTGGCAATGCTTTCATTAACATTTGTGTCACTTTGTAATTTGGCAAACACCTCTTTTTTTATAATCAATACCTCCATATTCATTATTAATTCTACCTATTCCACCTAAAACCATGAAGAGCTTCAGTTTCTTCTTTCTCGTCTACAATGTGATTGTTCTCCTTAGGCCCCTTTCATCTCCACTTCTGCCGGTTTAATCTCTTCACTCTTCTCTTCCTCGTATTTCATCTCTGGCTCTTCCCACTTAAGTCTGGGTTCAATAGGCAGATGAAAGTCATCTCATACGTTGGACTCTCCGGGCATACCATTAAGTACTCGTACACTCATTTCCTTACTCGGCGAGATCATGCCGATTAGATAGCCTTTAACAATAAGCATGCCACGTCCATATTGCACACTCTCAACTTCCTCTATGCTTATCTCTACCTCTACTACAATACGACCGTTCTCAAGAACAACAAACATATTAACCAATACCTATATTAAATATACGAATAGCTATTCTTTTCGTCCTTGAGAGAATATGCGTATATCTGTTTTTTCCGCGTTTATATATAAAATTTCATTTCGCTGTCAGGTACATGTTCAGGTACTGAATGGAAGCCTACTTACAGCTCTGTCTCCACAGTGACATTCCCATTTAGGAAAAACATTTCAGTAGTTTCGTCTAAACTCATTTTTAAAGCTATTTGTAGAATAATCATTGGGCTCTCCGGTGGTGGTGGTGGCTGTGATTAGAAGAAGGCAGATTTATTGTTGAAATATGATAAACTACTGTAATCTCTCGGTATTGTATTGAACTGTCCTTCATCAGCCTTTGCATTAGCATACTAGTGCCTAAATGTTGGATTTGGAATTCTAAATTCATGGTGGAATTCTCCTGATGCTCCAACTGTCTTAACAATTGATACGTCCAACACATTCAAATCTGATATATAAAATTCGCCTTTGCTACAAATTGTCTCGTATTTGAGTAATTTCTTCAATACATTCAACTTTCTAGGATATCCATCTTCACTTATTCCTACTAGTATATTATTTGAATTGTCGAATTGAACTTTGTCAACTGATACAACTCCTCCTGTTGCTTGTCGTGTCGACGGTCGCAATCGACTAACTTCTATTCTACCACAACCGAATGATTCAAAAGGATGTGATTTATTGCATTGAGGACTAAGTGTAGATTTATTGTCACCATAAAAATATCTCATGAAAAAAACCTTCAAGGTGGTAACATTCACAAGAAATGCGTTTGTTGAGATTTTTCAGTAGTATTTCCATACAGACCAGATACCGCCAACATAAACCTATTTCTAGAAGTAGCCGCGTGCCCTCTTAAG